GGGTAGGAAGGGAGTGGAAAGAGAGAAGAACCCTGGCTGCACCGCAGATAAGGATACCAACACGTCATCAACTTACGGAGAATACAATAAAAGTATGTAACCTGAGACAACGTTAAGTAGGATGATCAGTGACATGTGACGGCAGGTTGTGGGGGTGGCAGGCCAACCCACCAACCGTAATAGCCTACGTACATTTTTAAGCTAATTTCTCGTACTCATGTGATTTAATTTAGCTCACGTTAGAGTGTTCTCCATTTAAAAATAATAATCTGTGCAATACAATACTACACAGAGGCGAGAATTTTCACCAAAGAAATACTAACTTAGGAGAGAAGAAAGACATAAATGAGAACACTTATCTTGACAGAAGAGCATGCAAGAAAAGCAGTGAATTTGCACCTCACTTTGTATAGGCTTGCAGTAAACGGGAAAAAAAGGTCTGTCAAAGATTTTTTTTTTTTGTGAATTCTTCTGGCCAAGGTATTGTGTTTTTATTCTTTTGGGGAGAATATTTTAAATCGCGAACAGAAAACGGGGGCCGACCCAACAGACTGGAACTTCTTTAGAACTTGACATTTTAGTGTCAATGTCGCTTTACCATCTGCTTTCAAGCTCTGTAAGAATGGTCTGTGTAGGCACACCCTCCTTTCACAATGGTGCAGCCTAGTGAACTATGAAGGGAAGAGCCGAGAGACGACACAACCAAGGAGAGGCGACATAACCAAGGAGAAACGACACAACCAAGGTGAGGCGACACAACCAAGGAGAGGCGACACAAGCAGTTAGACGACGCAAGCAAGCAGAGGTGACATAAGCAAGAAGGCGACACAAGAAAGCAAAGAGGCGACACAGACAAGCAAAAGGTAACACAGACAAGCAAATTCAACACAGAGACAAGCAGAGAGGCAACGCAGGTAAACAATACAAGCAGAGATGCAACATAGGTAAACAATATAGACAAGCATAGGCAACACATGTAAACAATATAGACAAACAGAAGCAACACAGGTAAGCAATACAGACAAGCAGAGAGGCAACAGAGACAAGCAGATAGGCTAGCCAATAATCCTAGTCATTGATACTGTCATACAGTGAGAGATACTCGAGCGCGGACGTGTAGTCAACGTATGCAAGAAGGGGGAGACAGATGGAAATAGATAATGTACTAGTGTACATGAGCATGTACGCAACAAATGCATGAAAGGGGAGACTGAGAGTTAGAATGCTGACCACATAAGGTAAGAGCATTGTAGCATGACAGTGTGTATGTGGAAACCTAAGTCAACCATACTGGGACACACGCACACGGGGTGGTTGTGTAAGCTTAGTTAATCACACAGCAACAGATGCAGACGGGGAAATAACATAAGTGTACAGCAGCGAGAGTGTACCATGCGTACAAAGCTGAGACTGACAGAATGAAAGGAAATGATTAACAATGCAGAATTTGCAAGTGGAGAGAAGGGAAGAGAAGAGGGGAGGGGGAGAGACGAGTACACGAGGAACAAAGAAAAATATGCAAGCAGTAAGACAGCAGACACCTTACATCATAAGTTCCTTACTCAATATATAGTATTATTATTATTATTGGTGGTGGTGGTGGTGGTGGTATTATTATTATTATTATTATTATCTAGCCTATCATTTTTCTAATATAGAAAGTTTCATGCCAAACATTCACCTGTATTTCATCCCCGAAATTACCATCATTTTCTCCATACCTGTAATGCCTGCATGAGTTCATTTGTCATACATATTTGTTTATACATGTTATCAACAATGAGGAATGTTGCAATTTCCACAGTTATTACCTTAACTACAACACAGTTGAAGAACAAAAAGGCACAATACCGTGACTGGAACAATACACAAATAATCCGCACATAGGAGAGAGGAGCTTACGACGACGTTTCGGTACGACTTGTACCATTTACAGTGTGACTTTGTAAATAATCCAAGTTGGACTGAAACGTCGTCGTAAGCTCCTTTCTCCTACGTGCGGTTTATTTGTGTACAACATAGTTATTACCTCAACTAAGGCTTGTTTACGTCTCAATGAAGCAGAAATGGTAGACGAAAGACCCAGTTATAAAAATCTTTGAATGGATGATAAAATGCCAAATTACTAATTTTATGAAAAAGCAAGATCTGTACAACATAAGTGAACATTAATTTAGACCAGGAAAATCATGCTTGTCACAACTGCGAGACCATAACTGCTAAATTACAAAGATTTGGAAAGAACGCCAAAATGCAGACGTGGTCTGCACTCATTCCGCTAAGGCGTCTGACGAATGCTATCATAGGGCGATAAACCGTAAAAAATGGCTAATAGGTATAATAGGAAAAGTAGGCAAATGTATATTCAATTTTCTAACAAACAGAACAAAAACAGTAGTAATAAACCAAGGAAAATTAGTTTGAGAAAAGCACGAAGTTGAATACATCAAAGTGTGGTTGTGGCGCTTCCACTTATCACCACCAGACATGTGAAAATTTAAACCACACTTTCTGTCTGTGGCTGTCTTACAGAAAGAATATATATATATATATATATATATATATATATATATATATATATATATATATATATATATATATATATATATATATGGGGAGGTACCACCTCTAGAACTGGACTGGGGGACCCTCATCCTCAGAGAAGACAGCGCCCAGGCAGCGCTCTTTATTAATGTGTTTTGGGATATTCATAGGAAGCAAGATAAACACTGATTACCCCCCCCCCCCAAAAAAAAAAAAAAATTGTCACAAAAAAAAATTTCTTTGCTTAAATAGTATACTAATTAAATGTATACAGCAATTGCATTTTATGTCAGTGAATTTAATAATAGTGCACTAGGAGACTAGATTTATTTAATCTTGCAAGACAGCAGCGTTTATCGCTTGGTAATATGTCCTGGAATAAGCAACACTGGATCTGCAGTATCATCTTCCACCTTCCTGCTGGATAAAAATCATGTCACTGCCAAACGTAGGATAACTATTAATTCAAATTATATTAATCCACTTTTTCCCAGATACACATAAATAAGAAACAAATCAACTAATATATCGTGAAAATCATTCTGATGCTTGAATTTCGTCTCAGTAATATTTTCTGTCATCAGTGAGTAGAATTTTTTTTCCTATATATCTGCGAGCACAGCAGAGCGTAGTGCTGGTTGTCCTCCCTACCTCTACGACTACATCTGCAGAGTTGAAGGAGCACGTAAGTTTCCCTGTCTTCTAATGAAATGTTTATTTTTCCACTATAATCTACCTTGTCTATAATTATTATCGCATTTGTTTTGCTTTCGTAAGGTAAAGTCTAGGATCTTTCCTTAATTCATGGTATGACTTAACAAATCTTAAGTGAACTATTTGGTTCCACAGGTCTGAGCATTGCTCAGACTTACACAATAGGCCAAGAGTCTATCGGCAAGTGCCTTTGACGGCTGGTAACTAACACTAACACACACATTCATACATCCGTACATATACAATAGAATCGCAGACAGGCGATCTTAACAATGCAAGATAAGCCACGGGGAAATGGAGATCTTCAACTGAAGATCTTTCACACGTCTCCGTGCGTCATCATCAGCAGCAACACGTGACTTGTGGAGGAAGTTTCTTCAGAGTAAAGGTATCGTGTTGACACCAGCTGGTG